CTTTCTTATGGCTGTTGTTTGTAAGACCTATCTTTCCCCAATCCCTTACTTTCAACTATTTGGTATCTTTAAAGTTTATTTCCTGTAGCCGGCAAATAGTTCAATATCTTTTAAAAATCCAAGATGTGGATTAGATACCCCCCACACACCATAAGACAGGGTCTTCCTTTGTTGCCCAAGTTGGTCTTAAATTCCTGGCCTCAAGTGTTCCTCCCATCTTGGCCTCCCAAGTAGCTGGAATTTCAGGGATATGCCACTATGCCTGGCCTCCACTTAATATTATTAATTTAGTTGGATTTACATTTCCTTTGTCTTCTGTTCCTATTTTGTTTTATACTGTATGAATATTTTAATATAATTCCTTGATCATATTTTTCATATTTTTTAGTTATTTTCTTGGCAGCTGCTCTTACAATATACATCTTAATATGTCAGAGGTAACTGATTCTTCAACATCCTGTACTGTGTTACTTTCCTTCTCATAGTTCTCAATTTCCTCATCTAGCTTTCCAGGATCACCTCCCAAATAAACCAAGTGCACTCCAGTATCCTCAGAATCTGGGGGAAACTCAACCTAAGGCAAAAGGTAAAGTTCCAGCAAGGTTAAACCAACTCTTACCTTCTTCATGGGAAGGAAGGTAGAGGGCCCCTCACTGGAGAAGAAAGTTAGAAGCTTCTATTCCCCATCACTCCAGGCAGGACACAGCACACACTGAACGCCAAGAAAGGAGGCAGAGTAACTGAGAACTGGAACATTCGAAGGAAACTGGGTTCTTCTTTCTCTTGTCACAGGAAGACTTAAAACTCAGGGCGTCTCAGCAGGTGCAATGGTTTTTGCAGGGACAGGTTAATATCTAGTGCCACAAGAAGAGCCAATGCTGGAGCCCGCCACCTACAGCCCTAACCTTTCTTATATGGTGTGGCATCAAGAAGAGGCTGCCCTGAGGTACAACATCAATCCTTTTAAAATATGTAGCTATAAAAATGAACCATACTCTGACTCTCAAACATGGCGTCAGCAATCTGCCACATTATAATCACATCAGTATAAGATTGAACCCAGGAACATTCTACCTTTGAGCTACATCCCCAACCCTTTATTTTATTTTGTGGGTCTCACTACATTGCCCAGGATGACCTTGAACTTGCAATCCTCTTGTCTCAGCCTCCTTGTGGGGATTGTGGGGTGTGTGTCACTGCACCCAGAGACAGTCAGATTTTTTACCTAAGGCCTCAGGCTTCAGATTACTTGGAAGAAAGTTTGATAACAAAGTAATAGTTATTGCCAAGAGGCATTGACTTGAGGAACTTAGAAATTATAAAGAGGATTATCTTGAGAACCTTAACAATATACTTGGTGCTGCTGCTAAATCCTATAAACCTCAATGTCATAATCCATGAAACATGTAGAATAATATTTAGCTCAGTCACAATATTTGGTTCACTGAAGGCTTTCAAAAATGCCATGGATAATTAACTAACAAACCTTCCCATATGGTATTGCAATGGTTTTTTCTTGGCCCTACTGGGCCTCAGGTATTGGTAGACAAGCATTCTACCATTCGGCTGTACCCCAATCTTATAGTGGTTACCAGGAGCTGGGAGCTAGACAAGTGCTTTGCATATTTTCTCAGTAATTCCAACTTCTTACTAGAGAAGAAGGTTGAGCAGTGTTTTGTTCAAGGTCACAAAACCAGTGAATGCTGTTCCAGGATTCCACCCTATATGTCTCATGCCAAAATCCTATGCTTCACTCCTGATCCACCACTGCCCTCTGCTGGACAAGCAATAGTACTGCCTCCCTGTCTGGGTACCACATTTTAATTAGGCCTCAGGAAGAGCTGCCAGAGCTTTTCCATCAGATGAGGGAAAGGGGCAAGCAGGGAGGATGCCAGGAGAGTATTTCTTGTTTTCAAAGCCACTGCAGAGCCCCTCAAGTTGCACCAGTCAAAAATATACATATTATTTTGCTATGAGGACATTATTAGGATAATTGGTGACATTTGAATAAGGTTACACAAAAGTCAAGGGGAATTGTTGTCTACAACTTTCAAATGATTCAGAAAAAAATGTGTGTGTGAAGAAAGTAAGCAAAGGAGCATGTCAAGTTTAAAATGTGGCAAAACATTTAGGGAGTTTGGGTGAAGTATGTTGAGAATTCTTTATGTACTATCCTTAATAACTCTTCTGTAAGTCAAACTATTTCAAAGTTAAATAATTATATCTCTAGGAAGCTACCAACTCTTATTGCTCCCCAGGTTTGGGGGATATTCTCTGGCAACCAGAGGCGTGTATAGGATTTATCAGAAATCCTATCATTTATAGGATTTATCACAGGTTTATCATTCACAGGGCTCTCTCCTTGGCTTCTCTCCATAATAACTACCACATTAGTAGGAGTCCCCTTGCAACTATGGGCTGGAGCAGCTACCTGTTGAGCAGTGGCTTCAATGCCCATAGGATCCTGTACACACCCTTTGCAATGAGCATGCACACACACAACTACAGGTAGCAATAGGCACCCCCAAAAGGATAAGCCCACGCATCCAGATGCTGGTCAGCACAGCTAAGGGACTGGTTTGTCATTTCTTGTGAGGAAGAGTGAAAAAAATAAGATGGGAAACTTGGGATGAGAAGGCTAAGTGGCTGGAGGTGGGACAGGGGCACATGAAGAACATTGCAGACATTTGTCATGCAAAAGGGGGATCAGATTCAGTCTACGAGATGCAAGACGACAGGGTGAGTAATGGGCAGAGGGACTGACAGGCACATATCATTCACACCACGGCTCACTGTTAAAATACAACAGGTCACCTCAGAGGATGCTTCAGCAGAGGGTGGCATCTACCTGTGGAGGTGTCAGAGGGTTTTCCTTGGCCTTGGCTGCACACTAGAATTACCTGGAGAGTTGCTGTGAGTCTGACTGAAACACCATTCCCCATGTATCCACATGACCCCTCCCCACATCCCTCAGGTGTTTGCCCAAACACCACCTTGGCAGCAAGACCTTCCCTGATCACCCTATTTAAAGTTACAGCCTCTCCCCACCAGCATTCCATTTCCCTCTCCAGGTTACATTTTTCTTTATCACCTTTTCAACATGTTTGTTGTCCTTCCCTAAAATGAACTCCATGGGGACAGGGGCTTTATTTGTAGCTGCGTCCTGTGTCTAGATGGGGCCTGGCGGAGTAGCACCTCAAAAAGTATTTGTTGGATGTCTGGAAATCAAAGCCCACGTTTGGGAGTTCTGGGGTGGAAGACCATAAGATGCAGGCAGCACACAGGTCCCCTGATACCATAGCACAGGGCTCCTCAGAGTGAATGGACAACCTCCCAGGCCTGCGTGAGTGAACCTTAAGCAAGAGTGGACACCACATGGTCCTCCACTTCTCTGGCACCACCTGAACTGAGTCTGAGAGAGTCATAGCCAGGCATGATGGTGCACACCTGTATTCCAGAGTAATCCCCAAGGCATGAGGTTAGCAAGTTCAAGGCCAGCCTGGGCAACTTAACAAGACCCCATCTCAAAATAAATTTTAAAGAGGGCTGGGGGTTGAGTTCAGAGACAGAGTGCTTGCCTAGCAAGCATGAAGCCCTCAGTTCAATACCTATAGTTCAAAAAAGGGATGGGGGTGCCTAGGTCCAGTGGTGCACACCTATAATTTTGGCTACTCAGGAGGCTAAGGCAGGCTTACAAACTTGCTGCCAGCCTGAGCAACTTAGCAAGACCCCATCTCAAAATAAAATATAAAAAAGGTCTGGGGAGGTGGCTCAGGGGTAAAAGCTCCTGGGTTCAATCCCCAGTAATGCAACAACAAAGGGGGGGAATGACTAACATTGTTTCTCATCAACTATGAAAACTGGTAGCTTGCAGTCAGATTTTGTTGGATTTAGGAAAGTTAAGTAAATGTGATTTTTGTACCTTGGGCATTGGCAAGCAATTCATTCTGGAAATCCTAATACCTCTAGGTAAAAACAGTCCCAAGAGGCAAACAAACTAAAGGTCCCACAGGCCTGAGGCGCTAGCCCTGGAATGGCTGGCTCATTTGCTCCAGTTCAGACATGGGATCCCCCACCCCACCCCCCAGAAATCCCCAAGGCAGGAAACACAGGGTGAAGAGGAACAGAAGGCTTACTGGAGTGCTGCTGATGGTGAGACCTGCAAGGTTAGCAGGAATTAGGCAGACTGAGGGTGAGCTGAGGAGGAGAAATTAAGCAGGAAATGGCAGGTGCTAAGCCCAGCAAATGAGAACAAGCCTGGAATAATGAAGGGTGAGCCCCATGCATGGTTGTTCAAGGGTAGGGCCTATGTGTCTGGTGCTAGCCAGTTTGTAGAAGGCCCTAGAAACTGCATTAATGAGTGTGAATTTTAAGGGGTCCCAAACTGAGAAAGCTTATTCCAGCTCTGATGGAAGGGAAGGATTGGTAGGGATGTCCATACTGCAGGGAGACTGTCACAGAAATTCTGGAAGGAGAAAAGGGACTTCCCCAGAGGCATGAATCTGAAGGACATGTAGAAGATACAATGGGCAGGCCTTGGCTACTAATGAGATCACTCCTGGCAGAACAGATGGTGAGTGAAAGAACACTGGATCTAGGGCAGATGTGTTCAAGGCCATGGGTCTGGCACGCAAGGTCTACAGGAAGAGGCTGCACAGGCCCCCATGGGCTGGGGACAGGGACCCAGGCATTGTGGAAGTGTGATAATCAGAAACCTCAGAGTAAACAGGGACACCCAGGAGAGAATTCAGTTGGGAAAGGAAGCTTGGGCAGAGTACTAAGAGATGGCCAGCAGAAGAGCCACCCAGAGAGGAGGAGAGCTAAGGAGGAGCAACCAAGAAGGTGGGAAGAACACCAGGGGTGCAGGCCATGGACAGAGGTGACTCTAGAGGCAAAGAGGGGTCAGCAGCACTGGGAAGTAATTCCCACCAGGACGGCACGGCCCTGCTGTACCCTTGGCCTCCAAAATGTACTCCCCCCATCAAAAACCACAGGCAACCTAGAATTTAATATATGTTTATTTGTGTAGTAGGAACACTCAGGTATATAAATAAGGTAAATACTTTTCAATGTACAGTATATCATGTTTGTACACTTCGTTCAAAAAGAACCTACATGTATTGTTCAACACTAATCAGAAGTGCACAGGAAAGATCAGCTGTGGCAAAAACACTGATTTAGTGAAACATCAAGGTGGGTAAAGGGCACAGTAGGAGCGCACAAGTACATGCCTATCTGAGAGACCAAAGGACTCCTATCGGGCTCTACGCACCCAAGAGCTGCTTTCAGGCTGCTGTGTCTGAGAACATGAACACTGTCAACACCCAGCCTATCCAGTGCAAGACAACTCAATGCCACCAAGTCCCTCCATACAAAGGGGGAGCCAAAAATCTGCCCTGGGGGTGCTCCACCCTGTCTCTATCATTTTGACCTACCCCTCCTATTTTGGAAGGTATTAAGTATCAATAAATATTAAAATTTGGTATCAGTATCAGTGCTAGATAATTCATGAGCTTCAAATCACCATGGATGGGTTTTCTGAGTTGTTTCCTGGTCCCCACACCCACAAGCCACTGGGGCCCGTCAGTACTCAGCTGGCCTGTTAAGAGTCTATCCTCAGTGCAGAACTCCAGGCCCCTGCTCTGCCCTCTCAGTGTCTCAGGAGTCCCTTAGACAAGAACAATTTGCTGCTTCCTAGTCCCTGATCTCCCCTGCTTCCAAGTCCTTTGGTTTCACTGGCCCAATGTCTGCTCAGCTCTTTGTCTTGGTAATCAGCCCCAGACACCCAGCCAGCACACTGTAGGGCAGAAACAGGGCTTACTAAAGCTCCTAGCTCTGTGTACAGAGGATTTCAAAGGAACCCACACACAAAGGACACTCAAAATGCTTGCATGTTCTGCCCACTTTTGTTCTTAACCTCTTTTGTATACTGGTGTTCTTCCGAGAAAACCCAGGAGAACCTGTGCATGAACCTAATGGAGGTGAGAAGGTGTTCCAGTACTGAGGAAAGAGATGGCTGTGTGGCTCACACCAGCAAACACAATTTTACTTGGAGAAAAGGGAAGTCATCTAGGAGCTGAGAGCGAGGCCTGCCCAGTGCCTGGGAGAGCACTGCAGGACGGTCCACCGGGTATCCAGCCACCCTCTCCAGATAAAGGGCTGCCTGGGCCTGGTAGATAGCACAAGGAGGGAGGAAGTGTCAGGGGTAGGATACTGAAAAGACACGAGGGCCTCCAGGACAAGCCCAGATCAGTAGCTGTTTACTAAAAACCTCCACAACCACTGTCATTATCATCACCCTCAATCATGAACTGAAGGGAAGAAACCAATATTTAAATTCTAGCAATGGGCCTTAGGGGCTCACTACACCCAACAAACAGTCCCCAGTCAAGCCATTAGTTCTACATGATCATTCAACCGGCGTAAGAATCCCCTGGATCCACTGGCCAGAATCATTCCTTCAGAGTAAGGACACCTCCACTTCAACACATCCCCCAACTCCCTTGTCTCCATTCAGAAACTAAGTTAAAGAAACATTTTTCACTTAATCCAGTGCCTGTTCTCCCTTCATTCACTGAATGCTTTGCTAACCCAGAATCCAAGAGAAACAATCCACACCACCTGTCCTCACCTGCTCTATCCTAATGCCTTCAGGAAAACACAAAAACAAGGCCGACTTGTTACCGCTTAAGGATAGGGACAGAGCTTCGAGGCTTCCAGCTGACGTAACCTGCTTCAGCACAAGTTTGTTTTCTTCACTCTTCTTGGCCCCTGAAACCATCCAGGAAACTACAGGTTCCTGAGCTGTGTGCACAGAGCTTAGCCAGGGTAGGAAGTGGAGTCCAGAATGAGTCAGAAACAGCTCTCACTGTCCAGAGCAGAGGCACCTCCAGGCAAGAGGAAACGGCCTCTCCCCCATGGGCAGTCCAGACCAAGGCCACAGCAAGCGGACAACTCTCAGGCAAGCCACTCCCGCTATGAACTGAGAACTTCTGAACATCCTAAAGCCCTCTTTCCTTTGATCAGGTGTGCCTCCTAAACAATGTGTAAACCACCAAGATGCTCAAGTAGGGTGCTACAGTTGGACTACTACTCTCAGAAGGACTGTGCAGTCACTTTCCAAACCGTGAGCATCAGGTTGTGTCCACGGCAGTGGCAGTGTGATAGCCAAGAACCCAGTCTCTGGCATTATACCAGTGTGGGTCAAACTGCCAGCTGAGCTCAAAAAAATTACTATTTATTGAGCGCTTACTATGTGCCAGACACCGAGCTAAATGTTGGCACACATTATCCCATTAAATCCTCTTGATCAATTTCAGTTCCAACTGGGTCAGAGAGGTGGAGGCTGACAGTAGACTAGCAATCTGCCCACAGCTCACGCTATCCCAGCCTGAAGTCTGTCTTAACCAATGCTCTCAGCCTCCCTCACAGAGCCTCAGTTTCTGCATCTGCAAAATGGGAACCTAATCCAAGGCTGGTTTATGTTTTTAAGGGAATAATGTATGCAAACCTTCTGCACTGTGCTTGGCACATATTAAGCACTGTATGATTACAATCATTAATAAATACACTGATAATGTCACGTTAGCTAGAGAATAAGGAGAAGCAGAGAATAGGCACTGGCAAAGGAGTGGGAGCAGGGTCTTTGAACAACAAGTGGATTTGAAACCCACTGGCCATAAAGCCCTAGACTTCACATATTCTACCCCTTTTATTCTCATAAATCACCCACATGTCCTAAAACCCTTCCACTCTAGCATCCAAAATATTCCTCCTAAATTGCCCTCAAAATGGTAATGTCTGGCCTTGGAAAATACAATCTCCATCAAAAGCCGTCACCATGGTCAACCTAAAGTGAGGCTTGTGGGAAATGGAAGGGGCAGAAAGGTGGGCCACACTCAAATGGAAACAGTAGCTAGTCATCTGCCTGTGAGGATGGGCCATCTTCCAAGGGATGTGGGTTGGGAGAGCCCAGGCTCAAGGAGAAGTAGGCCCAGCAGAGCCCTTAAATGAGGACCCTTCATCACTACTGGATCCAAACCCTCGTACCCTCTATGGACTGTGCCATAAGGCCCCCATCTAACACCACAAACTGAGACAGGAAGTCACAGCTGTTCAACTCCTTAAAAACTGGAAGCTGGGCAGCCCTGAGGACAGAGATAAAGGGGAAAGGAAGTTGGTTTTGACCATGATTAAAAAAGGAATATGAGGTTCTGACCAAGAATTTGCTGACAGTGTGACCCTGCTGCCCTTTGTGGAATCCTGTGTTCCAGACAAGTATAGAGTCCATAACCAGCTTACTGTCTTGTGATGTGTCTATGACGGTCACCTGGACATCTCCCCCACCCTTACCTGAGAAGAAAAGGAACCCTGGATTCAAAAAAAAAAAAAAAAAAAATCACCCTTCCCACTTCACCCCTTTTTCCACATGTAAGCACAGTGTGCACAACCATATGCCAAGGTGGAGTTACTCTGAAAGACAGAAGACAAAGGTACCTAAGATATTACTAGAACAGGGAGAGATTTGGACAGTGACATACCACATTTGGCAGAGTGATGAAATCTCCCTTGGACATCCACCTGGGCTGGCTTCATAGGGAGCACGCTACAGTCTTCCTAGAAAGGATGCTCTGCACCATGAGTTTTTCACCTTCTCCCCACCCTACACTCAACAGCGGATGGACCTGAGCTTACTGAGGCCCACGGTGAGGAGCTGAACTTGGAGATCCGTTCAAATTAGCCTCCTGCCAATTCTACAACTAGCCTACACACAAGTCACAGGGTCTGTGTACTTTCCCTTAAAATATATTTTCTGGAATTTTCTTGAATAATACAGATCAAGTTATAGGATAAAAGTCCATGTCAAAGTTCACCTGTATGTAGTTTAAAGGTATGCTTCACCTCCCACATACACTGTAGAACTATACAACATTAAGAATAAATACTTTGTAAATGTGATTACACTACAGCTACTAAATGGTTCCGAATATGAAACAGGCAAAAAAGGAATAAACATAATAAGGCCCAGCTGTCTTCAAGGCTTCACTTTCAGGAGTAAACACAATTGTGTGCGTTTCTTGGTGTTGGAAGCATTTAAGAGGGTGGCACACACCAGCAAAGGGAAACTTCAGAACCCCACAAGCATGGTGAGCAGCCCAAGTGGAACTCACCAGGGATGCCCAGGCCCAGGCCTCCATGTCAGCCCTGGTTAGTTCGTCATCTCCTTATTTCACCAGGGTGAGCTAACAGCAACTGAAGCTCCAACCTGGCAGGGGCCAGGCCTCCTGAGCCTCAGGGGGAGAATGCTGTAACATTTCAGGTGGAGCTGGCTGAGGCACCAGCCGTCCTTGTCCTGTGGGGCTCACAGTGTGAGATGGAGATAGTCCCGACTCCACCTTATTACCCTGCGGAAGCTCTCTCTTGGGAAGATGTTCGTGGCTCTCTCGGTTACCTCAGAAGGCTGCTGGGAATGTATGGGATACAAATTGCAAAACAAAGCAAAAATTTCTGAATCAGGACTACATACTACTTATGAATACATAAACAAGTGGGACACACACATAACTAAGCATGGAGGTGACAAATACTGGATTCATGACAAGGGAGGGCACACAGTTCCAGTCACATTTTATTTCTGACCAAAAAAAAATGGGTCTAAAACAGGTTGCGCAAGTCACTAGGATCTGCTTGGGAGCATGTTAAAATAGTCTCTGGAGCTTGTCTGAAAGTGGGAGAAAGAAACACTGTCATACAGACACAAGGTGGCATTGCTCTCCTCTCCACCTGACTGGGAAATTCCTCCTCCACTAGAAAGCACTTAGGGAAATCAGAAAAAAAAAAACCCAGCTGCCACTCTGGCCTCTTGCTGACAGCGCTAGTGAGTATCCAGCTTTAGTTTCCCAGGATCCTCTGTCAGTGACCACTTCCACAAAGGAGGGTAACCCTCAGCTGCTGGCCCCAGGCTCCCCCATCCAAAGGCAGCCTGGTTTCAGAGTGAGTCCCTACTCCTGGGCCCCCACTGAGATACCCTCTCCCCCTCCGTTCATAAGGACCCCACCACTTGCCCACAATGAGGCCACAAGAGACAAAGGAGGTACCCTTCTATACCTAGTTTGGTGATCCAAGTTCATTCTTTAATCAGAAAACTAATTTCACTCCTAATCACTGTTGAAGATTAGTTGCTAAGACACTGACACATCTTGAGGACAAACATTTAGAAAAGACCTGAAAGCATTTCCTTTTCGGGTGCCCATGAGTAATAAGAACTTGCTCTGGGGAATCACAGAACAGTGTAATAGAAGAAGCTCAGAAAATGAGGACCCTACAGTGAGGCTTCCTGCCCAGGAACACATAGCCAGAATATAAACCTCCAGCATAACATGTTTTGTTCTTAAGGGGACCTTGGGCCCAAAAAAGAAAAACCATGAAGCTGAAACTAAAGTGACAGTTCAGTGAAAAACAGCTGCTTCACACCCACGAGGAGGGATCACACAGATATGTGAGTTCAAACACTGTGAGGGCTCTAGAGTCCCCTGTGGATGCTTCAGTCACCTGGCTGATTATGAGCCTTCAGGAGGCAGGAAGGCCAACATTTAAAAAAAAAAACAAAAACCACACTTGGAGCCAGAACCAACCAGACTTCCAAAGGGGGGTAACACCGTCTTCCAGGTTCTTCAAAACTTTGTTTTAAAAACCCAATGGTCTTACCCCAGTGACTTTCCAACTCAGAGCTGTAGTTTACTCACAGCATAAATCAAACCAGACTAAGGTGCTGAAGCAAGTCCTGCTGTCACTGGCAATGAAAGCAACCATGCCATGGAATAATTTTAACACATCTGTACACCAGGTTCTCTCCCCTGTGCTTGACTGCATTGGCCAAAGAACTAATCACTTTCCCAAAGCCCATCTCGCCCTGATGAGTAGGGAGGGGGAAAAATAAACCAGTTTACACAAACAGTAACTACAACAAAAGGTCCCCAGTAAAATACACACTACATTTAAACTGGTCACATTATATAAAAAGTATACATTTAATCTTCAGAATAGCCAGGCCTCTCATAGGTTAGTTATGCCATAGTTTTTAGCAGGACTTTATGGTTTCAATGAACAAGTCATGGTATAACTGAAATCATGGTAAGAAATAAGGGTGTTTTAGAACAAACATAGACACATACTTGCCTCAAGAGTAATATATACACAACACAGCAGCTACATGGTGTTCAGCGAGGGGTGTGCAAACCAAAAGCCCTCTCTCCCTGCCTCCGGTTAGGGTCCCCAGTGAGGGCCCCCAGGAAGGACTCAGCAGCAAGTCTACAGCACAAATGCCAACGGCCTCAGCCCTGAAAAGACAAAGTTCACTGGACTGTCCTCCAGGAGACACTGGAGCCTAAATCATGGGAAGGGGCTCAGTTACAGTGCTTCTACTGCATACACTTGAAATATTACAGTGTGGGTTTTTTCCAGACTATCATAAATAATTTTTCATGCTTTCAAAAATAAAAATAAAAACTAAAACCTTCTTTCAGTCTGAAATGAAGTGAAACCATACATAAAGCAGAGCTTCTTTCAGCCTCTGCAGGGCTTCAATGTGGACAGAATGCTCCTCTGATCAATAAGCCTCCATTCCTTCAGCCTAGAGAAGGCAACCCTCCACAGCTCCCAGGCAGGCACTGGTAGAGAAGAGCCAGTGAATGCTGTCAAGAACAGCAAGTGTCCAAGCCGTGTGCCCAGCACTAGTGGGAGAGCCACCTAAATGGGTTCACACAGATGAATGCCACTCTCATTGGGTCCAGTAACAGCTTGATAGGGATCACATCCTGAGCTGGGCAACACTGTCTTCCAGGTTGTTCAATACTTCTGTTTAAATATACCCAAATGGTTTTGCCCTCATGACTTATTTCCAACTCAACTACAGTTTACTCGCAATCCAAATCATAAACACAAAGACAGTATATACATATTTTTTTAACCCACAAATTTTAAAAAAAAAAAACAAAAAACCTGCCCCCCCCCCAACCAAAAAAAAAAAAAAAGACAGTGAGTTGAAGCTTGTCATTGTCTAAGTCACAGCAGCTGGGCTTGCCTTGGAGACCTGCCCTGCACTCAGTTCTGCTCCTGCTCTCCTAGCCCTGGGTGGCCCCTACTCGTCCTCTGTGGTGGCTGTCAGAATCCCCTTGTCAGTCAGATGAGACTTGAGCGTGTTGAAGATGTGGAGTTGCTGATCTGGTCGCAAGGTCAGGAACTGCTGAATCAATTTGCTTGGGTTAGGGCCTCTGCAACAGAACATGAAGAAACAGCCCTGAGTAGGCCCAACTGCTTCTAGGGCTTGATTATGCAAACTGCTGCTTTGATCTGCGGATTCTCTTCTAAGGGCAGAATGGGGCCTCATGCACAGTGACAACTGAAACTGAGTTCATATTTGAGATGGTTTTTCACTGGAACTTAGATGTAGCCAAAATTCTAGAAATGCACCATACTTACAAAGCCGCCAACTTAGTTCAGATAGAAAGGCACTATACCTGATAAAACTGGCAATGTATACATTGACAAAGGTGGCCATCAGGTACTGGCAGTCAAAGCGATCCATGATGCCTCCGTGGCCAGGAATGGTATTGGCAAAGTCCTGTTTAAGGCAGAGAAGGACAGGCAAGCCTGGCTTCAGTCAACAACCAAACACCAGACTGACTGTCCCACCCCAATTTTTTATTCTAGAAAAAAATAAGTGAAATAAAAGTCAAGATGCATACAAATCCAGCCTTATTACATGTGAAGAGAAATAACTTTTGCTGTGTTAGGTAGTCAAGGGCAAGAAAAAGAACTAAATCAAATGATAAGGCAATTATAGAATACAAGCTTAATAAATTACAAAATGTTCTTTTAAAGAGATAACAAAATTAACAAACTGAAAACCAACTACAGAATTTTCTTAGAAACAATATACTTTTGTTTAACCCACATGAATGCAGCACCTGGGTCAAGAAGAGCATGTATTAATCACCAGGGTGCCAGAGTCTGGTGCTATGTCGATGGCTAATGGGGTAGGAAAGAGGGGAGGAAGGCAGAAGATGGGCAAGGAGAGTGAGATGAAAGGAATAAAGAGGAAACCTCTGCCTACTTTGATTTTAAAGGCTCGTTTGAATCCACTTGCAAAGAACCCGCCAAAGGGGCCGATGAGTGAGGCAAAGGTGGAGAGGGCAATACTGTGAATCTGGAAGGGATACATCCGGACTGTTTTCTAGAAAAAATAAGTGAAATAAAAGTCAAGATGCATACAAATCCAGCCTTATTACATGTGAAGAGAAATAACTCTTGATGAAACTAATTACACTTTTTTAATCAAGAAGAAGAGTAGATTTTTTCCTTTACATTGTTATAAATTTCTAACATCTGACTTAATGGAAGACATTAATGTATTCTGTATTCAGGTCAGTCATGGTGGTGCATGCCCATAATCCCAGCTACAAGAGGCTAAGGTAGGAGGATCTTAAGTTCAAGGCCAGCCTCAGCAATTTAGCAAAAACATCTCAAAATATAAATAAAAAGGGTTGGGGGTGTAGCTCAATGGTAAAGCATTCCTAGGTTCAATTCCCAGACCCCACCTCCCCCAAAAAATATTCCGCATTCAACCTGCTGCAATATTTTGGTGAAAGTATATAAAGAAAATCCAGCCTTATATAGTTCAAAAATGAAGCATATTTTTAGTAGTCTTCTCAAATAATAATGCATATTAACACTACACCAGAATATGACAGAGGCTGTTTCTTAAAAATTGGATGCAATGTGGAATCTGAAATCCTACAGATTAATTTTTCATGCTCTCTCACATCATCCATCTCACACTTTGAATGAAATCTTTTGCCCATGTGTGACTGTGGAACCATGCATTGACCATCTAGAAAATACAGGATTGCTAAGTTATATTAATCTTCCAAATGTAGACACATTTTATTATCCAATGTCAAAATGTCACCTACTAAAATCACTATGGATCTCATCAGAAAAGTCTTTAAGGAGTAGGAGGCTGTCATGCTTACAGTGGCAGGTACATGTTTCCAAAATACAAACTTTTATTTAGAAGCCAAGTTCTATCATTGGTTAGCATTTGCTGTCGTTTTCCTTGAGTGACAAGCTCACTTCGTTCCTTCTCAGAAACATGTCTGCTAAATACCCAATCTGAAAAGATAGTTTTGCCATTCTTTTCAAATAAAAATTATGTTCCTAGAAAAAAACAGATTGTTCATTCCACAACCCAAACAACTGCACATGCTTTACCTTCAGGCACACAGCAATATTTAGCAGGGAATGTTTTATACACAGTTTCCATTTCAGCAGAGTATTAAAAGTGCACACCTTGTGTGCACTCAAGGTCAAACTTTAATAAAATTAGCAATTTTACCATTTCATCAAAAATATAAGAGCAACTGGCTTGTCTGCATTGTAAGGAGGTGGCATGAAGAGGGTACTGCCTGCCAGCCCTATTTGTGCCGTTGCCTTAACTCATGTCTAGACACTGGCCTTTTTCCCACCTGCTGTTTTTGTACCATCATAGAGAATGTGAGCAGAGTGGAAAAGGCACATAAATTCATAGTAATATTATGAAAACAGTTGGTACCTGAAGGATCCCTCTAAAGGAACCCACAAAACACACTTTTTGAGAACCACTGCCCTAAAAGATGTAAAGTGAGGGGAAAGGTCTCCTGCCCTCACCCTGAAGCTAGTGGCTCTGGAGGGTAGGTGGTGGAGGGGGCTCCTCTTTGCAGTCATGTCCCACCAATTCACCCCATGTGAGTGGCACATACCCAGCCAATGACTGACTGGATCACTCCAGGAATGTTGTACTCCTGCAGGCGGAACAGGTCCGAGGGCTCACAGTCCACAGTGAAGCTGTTGGTGTCGTTGTTGTACTCCACAGGGCAGACAAAGCACCTGTACCCAGACATCACGTAGGACAGCTGAAAATGAGGGAGAAAGACACAGGAATGAAGACGAGCTGCGTTCATCAGGATGGCCAACATCTGGCTTGGACACGTTTGTTCCTCAGTGTCCACCATCCTGCTCACTGCAAGCTATGTACAAAGTCAGAGGTTCATGTTTTACCACATGTGCATTTTACCTGAATTTTTTTTAATAAAAGAGGTTTATGCTCACTGAGGTCTCACTCAGATGTGCCCAAACACATGGACCCTGAAAAGGAATTTAACTACAAGACATTTCTTCCCATTTGGGGGAGCTCTAATCTATTTTCTCAGGATCTCTAAACTCAATGACAACTGGAGGGAGGTCATGGGAGTATGGTACAATGACAGCAGCCAGCCAGGAGAAAGAAGGCTAGGGGAGAGCAGCACTAAGGGACAGTCAGGCAACACTAAAAAAGGGAGAGACTGGCCTCAAGGTCCGAGGAAGGAAGTGGTGTCCTTTAAAGGGCTGAAAGATCATCTACCTCTGGCAGGTTATAAGTAGGAAAAATTCAGGGCTGGAGAAGCTTATCTCACCTCAGCCCTTACTCTTGGGTGTCACTCACCCTGATCTTGAAATACCAAATGCCTGGACAAGAACATTGTCTGCTGAAGTATCACCATGCCTAGGGATGAGAGGGTTTACAAGGTTCCTTATCTCACGACTGCCAAAACCCTGCCTGGAAACTGGTGGGTAAAGAACAGCCAGCACTACTGTACCCCTCACAGAGTGTTCCATGCTCGTGCATCTCTTTGGGGCAAGGTAATCAGCAGGACAGAGTTCCTTATCTAGTGAGACACACTCCCTAGCCCTACACAGGCCTTTGAAGTTGGAGTGAGGCCTCTGTCCCCTCTGCCACCCAGCTAGGAACCTCCACCTACCAGAAGGCCGAACACCACAGTAGCAAAGAAACCCCCAATGAAGCCTTCCCAGGTCTTCTTTGGAGAAAGCTGTGGACAGAGAGCACATTCTTAGCAAAGGATGTCAGTGACTCAGGATTTGGAAAGATTATTGTGAAAAATATCTCTGTCATAAAACCCCTATTCTTAACCAGAGATATGAAAAATTGTGCTGTATCTGTGTAATAAGAATTGTAATGCATTCCGCTGTATTTTTTTTAAAAAAATCAATTAATTTTTTTTTAAATTTTTGTATTGTTGGTTGTTCAAAACATTACAAATTTCTTGATATATCATATTTCACACTTTGATTCAAGTGGGTTATGAACTCCCATTTTTACCCCATATACAGATTGCAGAATCACATCAGTTACACATCCATTGATTTACATATTGCCATACTAGTGTCTGTTGTGTTCTGCTGCCTTTCCTATCCTCTACTATCCCCCCTCCCCTCCCCTCCCCTCCCCTCTTCTCTCTCTACCCCCTCTACTATCATTCATTTCTCCCCCTTGTATTATTTTTCCCTTTCCCCTCACTTCCTCTTGTATGTATTTTTGTATAACCCTGAGGGTCTCCTTCCATTTCCATGCAATTTCCCTTCTCTCTCCCTTTCCCTCCCACCTCTCCTCCCTATTTAATGTTAATCTTCTTCTCATGCTCTTCGTCCCTACTCTGTTCTTAGTTACTTTCCTTATATCAAAGAAGACATTTGGCATTTGTTTTTTAGGGATTGGCTAGCTTCACTTAGCATAATCTGCTCTAATGCCATCCATTTCCCTGCAAATTCTATGATTTTGTCATTTTTTAATGCAGAGTAATACTCCATTGTGTATAAATGCCACATTTTTTTTTATCCATTCGTCTATTGAAGGGCATCTAGGTTGGTTCCACAGTCTTGCTATTGTGAATTGTGCTGCTATGAACATCGATGTAGCAGTGTCCCTGTAGCATGCTCTTTTTAGGTCTTTAGGGAATAGACCGAGAAGGGGAATAGCTGGGTCAAATGGTGGTTCCATTCCCAGCTTTCCAAGAAATCTCCATACTGCTTTCCAAATTGGCTGCACCAATTTGCAGTCCCACCAGCAATGTACAAGTGTACCCTTTTCCCCACATCCTCGCCAGCACTTATTGTTGTTTGACTTCCTAATGGCTGCCAATCTTACTGGAGTGAGATGGTATCTTAGGGTGGTTTTGATTTGCATTTCTCTGACTGCTAGAGATGGTGAGCATTTTTTCATGTACTTGTTGCTTGACTGTATGTCCTCCTCTGAGAAGTGTCTGTTCAGGTCCTTGGCCCATTTGTTGATTGGGTTGTTTGTTATCTTATTGTCTAATTTTTTGAGTTCTTTGTATACTCTGGATATTAGGGCTCTATCTGAAGTGTGAGGAGTAAAGATTTGTTCCCAGGATGTAGGCTCCCTATTTACCTCTCTTATTGTTTCTTTTGCTGAGAAAAAACTTTTTAGTTTGAGTAAGTCCCATTTGTTGATTGTAGTTATTAACTTTTGTGCTATGGGTGTCCTATTGAGGAATTTGGAGCCCGACCCCACCGTATGTAGATCCTAACCAACTTTTTCTTCTATCAGACGGCGTGGTTAAAAGAAACCCAGTTCTTTTAACCACCTTACCTTCTAAAATTTCCAAAACATGGCTTCCTTTTTCCCTAAATTATACCCTTCAGTTTCCTTTCTGTTTCAAATATTCTTATTATTAAACTACATACTAATTTAATCACAACACTCAAATCAGATCAAAGCTCTACGAGTGTGCTTTAAGTCTATAGAAACATTTCGTTATGATTTTTTTTTTTTTTTTTAATGAGTAGTTGTCAATGTTTTCTTTTGGCTTTTCCCTTACAATTAATTTACTACCAGTCTACCCCCAGGGGCACATGGTTACAAAGCCACAGTGCACACCAGCTAGATTTCCTTCTGTCTGCCACATTAACCTACTCATATAGAAAGCACCATCCTACCCTCATGGTGATATTTTATGTTAGGGTGATCATTTACCTTGATGAGTGGAGTCCGACCAAAGAAAAAGCCAAACATATAGGCCATGATGTCATTACAGATCACACAAGAAATGGGGACAATGAACCTAGGAAACAAAACAAAGTGAGAATCAACTCTACCAAGATGACAGTACCTCAGTAGTCCACCAACAATGCCATTCATAAATTCCAGAACCAAAAAGCTGATAGTGCATTTGTAACCTATTGTGGTATAAAATACAAAGAAAGTAAACACCAAAATCCATACATAATACTTGACACACAGCAGGCATTAAAATGTTTACTGAATGACTGCTGAATAAATGGAGAGTATCTATAAATGTCATTCTATTCTTTTTTCATTATACAGTAATATATACACATAATACAAATATAAATTGTAAAAGGAGAAAAATTTTTTTCCTTCTTCCCCCCCATCCCTATTCTCCAGTCTCCAAAATAACCACTTTTACTCTTACCTAATTTTTTTTGAGTAGTTACCTGTACATTTCTAAAACTATATACATATATATATTTGGTAGCTAACTTACTTTTTTCACTGCTTATTTCTAGCACTCGTGTGCCCTACTTTTCCCTAGGACAACCCTTGGAACAAAACCCCAATAAGCACACCTGTATTTCTTCTTTGCCCTCCTCTTGCTAAACCAATCACCCCCACCATGAAGACAGGTGGTGTTTATACTCATACCATCTCTTTCCTCACTCTCCACCCTTCTCAAGACACTTTTTAAAGTTTTTCTATTAATTTAACATGACAGAAATAAATCTTGATTTCCTGGCCCAGCAACTGTGGGCACGATTTCCTAACTTCCTGCTTGAGGGAGAAATTTGGAGTATGTGAACCCTTCCTACTCTATCTTCCAGACTCCACATTATTTACTTTGTCAAGGCTTGTAGAACAGTCTCTATAACAATGCACTATAACAATGATTAAACCTTCACTGGAGACTTTTTTGGGGTGGGGACGGTACTGGGGATTGAACTCAGGGGCACTCAACCATTGAGTCATATCCCCAGTCCTATTTTGAATTTTATTTGGAGACAGGGTCTCACTGAGTTGCTTAGTTCCTCACTAAATTGCTGAGGCTGGCTTTGAACTCACGATCCTCCTGCCTCCACCTCCTGAGCCACTGGGATTACAGTGTGCACCACCACACCCGGCCTTCACTGAAGAATTTAATATTAGTCACTATAGACTCAACTGACTTGTTTAGCCATGAATCTGAGGACTTAGCACATGCTACTCTTAAGAAATGCATAATAAGGGGGCTGGGGTTGTGGCTCAGTGGTAGAGTGCTAGCCTAGCACATGCGAGGCCCTGGGTTCGATCCTCAGCACCACATAAAAATAAATAAATAAAGATATTGTGTCCAACTAAAAAATAAATATTAAAAAAAAGAAATGCATAATAAGAACACTGAAATTTGAAAAGGAAATAGTGCCTACTCAGACCTTTATAATTGTTTTAAATATAATAATGCCCAAAGCTAACATTTATATGAGCTAATTAATCTCTTTAGATTTGCTGACTTGTCAGTTCCTCAGGAGGTGAATGTAACTACATTCTAACTCTAACATTTGAAGAGAGAGGCAGTCTGGATGTGACCCACAATACTTAAGCATGTCTCTCATTACCTGAAGATGTGCCTTTACCTTTCCACTAAGATCACCTAGCTTCTTAGTCATTCTGCTGATTCCTATCAATGCTGACACATTTCCTGTTAAAACCACTATGTTTCTAAAATTAAATCTACTCAGTAATAGTATAATGTTCTTCTGACACACTGCCAGATCCTACCTGCTAATATTTTATTTAGGATGGTTCTTGCTTCTTCCTCATCAGCTTTGGTGTGTTAGATAACATACAGCTATTAACCTGCTTGGTCCCATTTCTTTCTTCCAGGTGTTGAATTTACACAATTTTCAAAGTTCTTCTATAGTCACTGATATATTCAAGTTTGTTTATAACTATTAGCAGTTCACAATTTTCTAGGAACTCCTGAATATTCCCTCTAGGTTTTCAAATTTCAGGTTGCTGTACAGTTATAAATTTTGATCAAATATCCCTGTACCTGTTAGTCTAGAACAGATTTTTAGAATTTAGGTACTGACCAGCAGCATCAGCATCACCTGGGAATGTACTAGAAAATCCAAAATTTCAGGCCCTACCCCAGATCTACTGAACCAGCCATCTGTGTTGTAACTAGCTTGAAGGCTATTCTGAATAGCTCAAGGTGAGAACCACTGGCTTGGAAGAGAAGGCAGGGGTTCTCAGCCTAGGTGTATGTAAGAAACACCCACAAAATGAGAGGGAAAATGCTTCCTGCTGCCATCACTCACCAGATCATTCCTTCAAACAGATTGTGGATAACGAGATGCGACTGAGTTACAACAATCAGTAATGTTACATGGGTCCACCCAAACTGCAAAAGAAGAAAAACTATCAAGTTTACCTTAGAAATAACTTTAAAGAACAGAAAACTGATGACAAACAGAAAAAAGATCTGCTTCTGTATCTGACTTACTGGAAGTAAAAAGATACAGAACAGGCTGCTGAGAGTAACACTTTGTCCCTCCCAATAAGAGTCCCATCAAAAGCAAGTATTGGGAGTGGGGTTGTGGCTCAGAGGTAGAGTGCCCGCCTAGCATGCATAAGGCACTGGGATTGATCCTCAGCACCACATAAAGTAAAATAAAGGTATTGTGTCCACCTATAACTAAAAAATAAATATTAAAAAAAAAAAAAAGCAGGGAGTGGCTGGGCACAGCAGAGCATGCCTGTAATCCCAGCAACTCAGGAGGCCGAGGTATGAGGATCACAAGTTAGAAAACAGCCTCAGCAATTTAGTGAGTCCCTGTCTCAAAATAAAAAATAAAAATATAGCTCAGCAATAAAGCACCCTAGATTCAATCCCCAATACTAAAAAAAGTAGGGCCTGGATAGCCCAATAGTGAGTCCTATGCTCTGATGCATGGGTACTTTTTTTTTCATAGTATTTACTAAACTCTTAGGGCACTCAGAGAGATGGTCTCAAGGTTCCAGATACATACAGAATAGATCACATTCCAGAATTTTGATATGTCACAAAGCATGAAAAATCTGTTGAGTTTCTGCAGCTCTTCAATTAAAACAAGAATTCATTTTCTCTCTCCTTCTCCTTCTCTCTCTCCCTTCCCTTCTCTCCCTCCCTCCCTCCTTCTCCCCACCTCCCCCCCTCCCCCACCTCTCGCCCCCCTCTCCCCCCTTACCATGTAGAACTGCAGTCGGTAATGCTTCTTGACCAGACTCAGTACAAACATGCAGAATCCTAGTTTGGAGGAAGAGGAATGAGTTAAATAAATCACACTCTATGTTTACCTTTCTTCTAGTCATTTCATTTAGCTGTGTTAAATGGCCCTTTAATTTTTTCACAGGAGTTAACCAGTGCATAATTTCAAAGACAAGAGCACAAAAACTACTGCAATAGCCCTGCAGTTTTAATTCTAGATCACAGAAGAGGTAACTGAGACTGTATTGCCAACTGTAATTCCAGGTACTTGGGAGATGAGGCAGGAGAATCTCAAGTTCAAGGCCATCCTTGGCAATTGAGCAAGACCCTGTCTCAAAAAATTACAAGGCTGGGCGTGGTGGTGCATGCCTGTAAATCCAGCACCCCAGAAGGCTGAGGTAGGACAAGTTCAAGGCCAGCCTTAGTAATTTAGTGAGACCTTAAGCAAGACCTATTTCAAATATTAAAGCACACACACAGGCGGGGGCTGAGGATGTAGTCCAGTAGCTAAGCATCCCTGGGTTCAATCCCTGGTACCAAAAAATAAATACAACTAAAAAATAAAAAGTGATGTAGTTCAGTGGTAAGAGTGCTTGCCTAGCATGTTCAAGGCCCTGGGTTCAATCCCCAGTGTCACAAGAGAAAAAGAAAGATTAAATTCCTTGCCCACTGAGATTATAGAATCTTTTCAAAGGCAAATCTAGTGAAACTTCCACCACACTGCAATGTTTCTCAAGGTTGCTCCTATGATGACTTCCCTAAAAGATAGTCACTGACTGAATGATTTTTGTTTGTCACACTGAAGAATTTCAGTCAAGAAGAGAGTTGAGACAAGGCCACACATGCTCCACTGGTCCTCATAGGGAGGCTGATACTCAAGCAGGTGGGACAGACAGCCATGGCCATCCCCACAACCGCGACTCCCTGGGTCTCAATTTCTCTTATTAAGAGCTATAACAGCTCAATGTACGACCGAGTCCTCAGCTTGCTCCCCAGCACAGTCCCAGTTATAAAACTTTAAACAAGAATTCCCCAACTCGGGGTTGGGGTTGTGGCTCGGTGGGTAGAGGGCTTGCCTAGCATGTGTGAGGCACTGGGTTTGATTCTCAGCACCTTATATAAATAAATAAATAAATAAATGTCCATCAACAACATATATATAATTTAAAAAGAAAAAAAAGAATTTCCCAACTCCTTCTCCACAGACAGATGAAAACAATACAGACAATACAGACACAAGAACTGGTGAAGCAATTAATGCATACCTGTTAGATAGAGGGTAAAAGAAATGAATCGATGGTATTTACTGAGAATCCGCAAAGGCTCCTCTCTCTGGACCAGGGTGAAGAAGTAATCCGTCACTGTCTCGCCATAGAAGAAATAGTTTACACACAGTAGAAAGTACCTAGAAATGAAGACAGGGCAGTGCCGCAGGAGCACATGCAGCCTCTCCTTTACAGCGAAGCCCTCAGAAAGCACGGAAGAAAGGACAGAGAGCAGCAGCCCGATCTGCCTGGAGACCCAGAGATAGCTCACAGAGGGACGAGCAGATTACGGTTCCCTGCTCTCTGCTAACACTGTAGGTGAGCAGTTCATCTAAAAACTTGTGGCAGCTTTTATTCACTTTCCCTTTTCACAAACTTAGGATTTGGTTTTTGCCCCTCTTGTGGCATTTCCATATCTAACCTGAGAATCCTCTAAAACGTGCCTCACTCTGCCTCCCCAGACTCTATCCCGCTCTACCCACACAAAAATTCCTCTTCTATCAAAAAGGTCCATCCTCCCCCTTCCGCACCTGGAACATCCTCTTCACTTATCCATTTATTCATTCATTGCTCAAACACCATTGTCTTCATAAAACCTTACATGGTCTAACAAGCTATCTACCTCTCCATTTATTTCTAAAGCAAGTAGTCTAGTCTTTGCTCATTTCACTAGGCAGTTAGTTATACACAATCTCAGGGCATCTCCCACTTGGAAGCCTGGCTCTGACACATACTCTTTCACTAGATTAACTCTGCACTTGTTTACATCCTCTTTCAAGGGAGTTCTGTGAGGCAAGAAGTCATGGCTCACATCTTGTATAGTAGCCTCCATGATGATTCTGAGTATGGGACCAGGCAGAACCACCCCAAGCCTGAGGATTCAAGGGAGAGAAGTGAAGAGACATTTTCTCTTTCCTTCTTTTTTAAATTGTGAAGTTCAAAAACTCATATTTAGGGATGGAGTTGTAGCTCAGTGGTAGAGCACCTCCCTCGCAAGTGTGAGGCGCTGGGTTCAATCCTAGCACCACATAAAAACAAATAAAGGCATTGAGTCCATATACAACTTAAAATTAAAAAAAAAAAAAAAAAAACAACTCATATTTAGTTTATTTTCTGTTCATGAAAAAGTCTTTTGGAAAGTGACCACAGCTAGAGGTCAGGCCTCCTGAGTACATTAACAAAATTCAAAACACAGCTGTCCTCCTATAAAACAGCCACAACAGAGACCTACATCTTAACTGCCACAATGGAGACTTACACCCTAAGCCAGGGAGCAATCACAGATTCATCTGGAGGCTGGGAGGCAGTGTGTATTGTTGGGTGACAGGGAGACATCGTGGAAGGATATGTCCAGCCTAATTCTGAGCACATCAACTCCCACAGTCATGACCAAGTTGTGGGGCACAAAACCCTACTGTCCAGCCCACTAAGTCACAAATAAACTGGGGTTCCAGCATAGTGGGGTAGAAGAGTCTATGTTTGCTATCAGTCTTCTCAGAACTATGTGATGCTCTGCTCAAATGTCACCACTTGAAAAGAGTGTGGTCAAGAAAACAAAGTTTCTAATCAGAAAGGAGTCTCAGATATCATCTGCAGTACAGTTCTTTATTTTGTTTTTGCTTTATAGCAGCCAAGTCCTTTTCTAGAGAAGGAAAAAGCAGAGTTTCTCTGGAAGAGTCCAGATCCTGTGCTTTCAGTTTCATCCTGCTCATACTGGCACCCTGAGTACCTCTAAGGAAGTAGGACTCCAATCCCATCATTTGAAAACAACTGAGGAAGTCTTAACCATCTGTTTTAGTGATGGCGAAACCAAGTTACCAAGACAGCAATATATGCAACCTGACAACCCCAAAGACCCGAGGGGAATTCTGGGATGCTACAGCATGAAAAATATACTGAGCTAGAAAGCTGGAGGGGCCAAATACTATCCCTGTCCCTAAAGTCTAGGAACCCCAATACCACTGCAAATCCTCTCAGACAGCCATCTGATTTCTTCTGAGGAAGATTCCAGACTCCTAGTAGCTACTGAAGACTCAAAACAGCCACAAAGTTTGGTCTGTGAAAGGCTCAAAGGTTTTGTACAAGTCTAAGGTGGGCACTCTATCGTGTCCCACCATCAATGTAAATACATGCCACAAAACACATCATCTAAATCAGGTAAGGGGCCCTCTGGGTCAGAGATCTTACCAGCTGAGGGTCCTGAACCAGGGCAGGTCATAGGAGTGGTAGACATTGTAGCCAATAGTGATTATCTCATGGAAACACTTAATCTGAACACACATTACCTGCAAAACACAGAAGAATTAGAACACTCTTCTTATTATCTTCAGAAACAAAAAACAACAGGTCACAGGTCCTAAGCAAAACCACTAAATAAAAACTTCAGTTTTCAGGATGATCCCACTCCCCTCCTCCTCAACACTATTCCACAAGGCAATGCTCTGTCAGAGGAAGTAGCTTCCCATGGCTGATGTTCAGATTAACTTTTTATTCTAGAACCTCCCAGAACTCAAACAATTGTGTCCCCATTTGATTTTGGTAATAAATATTTGAAAAACCCCAACTGCTCTGCTCAGCAGCCAACTGTCATCATCTGGCCCTTTCCATAACAGCAGGAAGACCAAGAGCAGCTCTGTGGACTGCGACTTCTTAACAAAAGCTCTAAGCCCTCAAGTGAGGTTCCAGAAGAGCAGGAAACAAAACCAGGAATCACAGAAACACACAGCCAGGGTCACAGTTAAACTGTAATAATAAATTCAATATTAAAAACGAAGCGAGGGCTGGGGGGCTCAAGCAGTAGCGTGCTCGCCTGGCATGCGCGGGGCGCTGGGTTTAATCCTCAGCACCACATAAAAATAAAATAAAGATGTTGTGTCCACTGAAAATTAAAAAATAAATATTAAAAAAATAATAAAATAATTTTTTTTTTAAAAAGTGACATCTTTAACTACAAATAACTGGCCTATGCCAGTAACCTCCAGTTAGCTACTGAAAGATGAGAAGTCACAGATGGTCTAAGGCTTAGAAGTATTCTGAGGAGCCTGGAGCCTCACTGAGTTCCAGAGCCAACCCAATATCTGGCACTAAAGACAATAATTCTGTAGAATAAACAGAATGTAAAACTAAAATGACATGCAAATGGCACTTACAATCATCATTAAAACCATTGGTCCCAGGTAAATGATGATGAAGAAAAATGCAATCATGGCCAAAGACAGGATGCCTCTCACCCACCAGTTCTTCCATCTAGGTGAGAAACGGGGGAAGGAGAAAACACCAGTTAGGAGCCCAGAAAGAACTACAGCACAAACCTAAGGGAAATGGCTCTTTCTGAGTCTGGTGGGCCCTGGGCTTAGTTATTATCAGGCTATCTCCTTTACCTTGACAGGCACTGCCACAGGCTGGTGGAGCAGAGCATTAGCACCAATGCGTCTCACCCACAACCAAACTCAGCAGGTGCTCCAGGGCCTACAGAAAATATGCCCAGCTTTCGTCTGAAGTAAAGACCAGGCAAAAAACAGAGATGTAATGCCCACAGCTTCTGCATCTACTTGGATGACTTCTATGGCCATCTAGCTAAATAAAAACCTCTGGGCATTTTCCTGCAACAGAATTCCACAATTCCACACTGCACTTCCCTGTATTATCACACTGATGGTAATAATATTAGGCAAAGACAACTATGACTAATACACACACTAATAAACTTTTGGGTTTTTTGGTACTTTGGACTGAACACAGAGATGCTTTGCCACTGAACTACATACTCAGCTCTTTTCATTTTTTGAGATAAGGTCTCACTAAGTTGCTGAGGCTGACCTTAAACTTGTGACCCTCCCAACTCAGCTTCCCCAATAGCTGAGATTAACAGATGTATGTCACCATGCTCAACCTGCACAAGGCATTTTTATAAGAATTTTACATATATTATTAATTCAATCCTCAACACAACTAGCTTTTTACAATTTTAAAATAGATTTTAATCCAAATGTATTTTTTTAAATTGACACATAATATTCATACATATTTTACTGAAGAAATGAGAGGAACAGGGCACATAGCCAGCAAATGGTGAAGCTAGGACTAGAGTCCAGGGGTCTGGCTCCAGGCTCCATGCCCTTAACCACTGCATAATACAGCTTCTCCAAGGGACAAGGTGGCAGGCCTGCATAGGAATGCTTTTAGATAATGCTTTGGGGTCTTATAATTTGTGTTTTTCATCTACTCACAAAACTGTTTTTAGAAGGACCAACTTCTCAAGAGCCAAAAATTTTACCCAAGGATTCAAATAAGTTGAAATGTTTCCCACCTTTTCCTAGAGAACTTAAGGAACTGTTCATAGTGGAAGTATATGAAAGAGAGAAAACGAAACATTGAACCAGAAATCCTAAGACCTAAAGTATTCCATGGCATACTAAACATAGTGCATGTTAAACATAGTGCAAAGACCCCCACAAATATCTGCCTCACTGAGCCACATTACCTTGAAGACAAATTGGAAAGGGCTCTGTTGAGGACCTCTGGGGTGTCATCTACGGAGGTTGGCGGGGGAGCTGGTTCCGCTCGGCTCTCACTGTCTGATGCAGTCTCTCCATCTACCTTTGCTTCTGACTCTGATTCCTACATGGCAGAAACACAGAAGAGGAAACAATCAAAAATGCCAAACAGACTATTGAGAAGGGTGTGCCTTTTCTGAGAGAGCTGTGTGAAAAGACCCCAAACAGGGCCTGGCAGTCAAGTAAAAGAACAGATGGGACACACAGCAAACTCAACAGTGTTCTGACATATGCCAAGGTGGCCGCACTCTGTTGGAAGAGAAGCATGCATCTACACCACATGCAATCTGTTTAAGCCCCCTGGGTGGGGGATACAAGAGAGATCAATTGTAGTCAAAGAAGGCAAAAAAGAGGCTGTGATATATTTTCTGGGAGCTTATCCCCGAGCCTGCACTGGCATAGGTGGCCCAAGTGTATCCCCAAAAGCACTGGGCTGTAGGCGCTCAGGAAAATCCATCCATCTCTGAAAAATCCTCTCCACCAAGACCTGACTTTCACAGGGCACCACCTCTGCTCTGCCATGGCACACTATAGACTCTCAGGACTGCCACAGTGGCCAGCATCACTGACCAGATTCTCTCAGAGGAAACCCAGTGTGTGGGCTTTTTCCCCCAGGGATACACAATGCCTCAAAATCCAGAATACTCTGGACTTGGCAAGAACATCCTGTGAGAAGACCACCAGTGTGGAAGCCACACCTACTGGCTCACTCAAATCAAAGCTTGGCTAGACTGGTGCAGCTCTGTCTTCTGCCTGCCAACAGACCCTGAGCATCAGCAGACTCCACAATGTCACTCACACAGAGCTGCCAGACAGGCCCCACCACAAATGAAACACCTGCAGGGACTGACCCTGCCCCCCAACCTGGGGAAGGGGCCAGAGCCATGCCAATCACAAACTCCACCCGAGTATCAGGCTACTCTGAATCCTAGGAACCATCCTACTTCAGAGAGATTTGGGGGGTTTTTTTGTTTGTTTGTTTTTGATTTGTATCAGGAATTGAACCCAGGGGCACTTAACCACAGAGCTACATCCCCAGCTCTTTTTTTATGTTTTTGAGACAAGATCTTGCTAAGTTGCTTAAGGCTTCACTAAGTTGCTGAGGCTGGCCTTGAACTTGCAATCCTCCTGCCTCAGCCTCCTGAGTTGCTGGGATTGCAGACATGTACCACCATGCCTGGTCAGTAACTTTTTTTTTTTTTTTTAATGTCAGGACTGAACCCAGGAGCATTCAACCACTGAGTCACATCCCTAGTCCTTTTTATTTATTTTTGAGACAGGGTCTCGCTAAGTTGTTTAGAACCTTGCTAAATTGCTGAGGCTGGCTTTGAATTTGTGATCATCCTGCCTCAGTCTCCCAAGCTCCTGGGATTACAGGCATGCACCACCACCATGCCTGGCCCAGAAGAACTAAATTTGAATTTCCCCAGTGACTAACACATGATATTAGCACTATTTGAATGTATATTGGTCATTTGGGTATCTGCTTTTTTGAAGTGTTCATCAAACTACTGGTCAGTTTTTTTCTGCTGAATTTTCTGCTTCTTTTTTTATATTAATTTGTAGAATTTGTTTATGATCTCAGACTTCAGTACTTTCTGTCAATTTGTTGGTTTAACCTGATGTTCTCCTAACCCTCAGACCTCTTGCCTATCAGAGCTGGCCACAATGCAAACTTCTTTGTAACTGTCTCCCCCAGATAACCATAAGCTCTCTTAAGACTGGAATACAACATTTTGTTCTCATTATTTCCCCAACCCTGGCCCACAGCCAAATGTTTACTAATGGATGGAAGGATGGAGAAAGACAGGAATTAATTCCAGGTATGGTAAAGAGAGATTCAGTTCCTGCCCTGACAAAGCTACTTCTAAGTTAATTTATACCATAGAGGGCCTTAGCTAAAGCAGAATGCTGTTACAAAACAGAAAGCTGGCTTTGGCTTTAGATATGTCCTCCTCAGTATGGAAGGAGCCACAGCTTCTGCAAACTAGAGCCAGGTGGCTCTGGACAAGTGATCCTTATGCCTTTGTACTTTGGTGTCTTTATCTTAGGAAAGAAACCTAGTTAAGGGCTCTCCCTAGGTGGAGGGATTCTCTAAAGAGAGATAACCAAACTCCACAGCTCCAGAGGTTCTAAAACACAACAACACCTCCAGGATTGTCCCTCTCCAGTTAGGCAAAAGGGAAACCAGACACTGAAAATGGCTTCCTGGTCTTGTAATTCTCTTTTCTATTTTGCAGTATTGGGGATCAAACCCAGGGCTAGCACATGCTAGGCAAGTGCTCTACTACTAAACTATATCCCTAGCCCCCAATTCCCATTCTTAAAATTTATACTCACACCCCACCTGCAACCACTAATACTCCAAGGTAAAAATACTGCGTGATTATCTAACTCTGACCTCTAAACTTCTGGCCTTCAAAATGAGAGCACCTAAGCCACCCCCCCCCCACACACACACACACACATACACAAAGTTGCCACAAATGTGTTCCAGTAGCATAGGAACTAAGCCATAGGAACTAAGCCCAAGCACAACAGGCAAGAGGGCACTCTCACATGCACTGAAGGCCCTACATAAGGTTATTTTTAGCTTATCTCGCCTGTTGTCAAGGAAACTCACCAAAGCTACTGGGTCCCCAGGCAGGGAAGGACAGCTCCAGCTCCAAGCTAAGAGTCTCTCTGAAACTTCCAGGTCCCTTTTATTAACCATAAGCCTAGCGCCAAACCCTGTCAAAACTGACTCCTCGCTCCTTATAGGAAGGATAAACCAGTCACAAAGGAGTAAAAGGAGATACAGAATTCACACAAGAACACACAGTTGTTATTATCAAGACTTCAGGGTGACTGAGATGAACACTTAAGAAACGAAATAAAAGCTCTGAAGCAATGAGCTTGAAAGATTAACTTCCTAGATATTTCCTGCCTCTAAGCAAGTAACTTCAGGTTCTCAGGCCTCCCCCCAGACCTACTGTAAGACTTCAGAGCAAGCCCATTCCTGGAGGCACCTTCTGAGCAAGAGACTAGCACCTACACAGACCACCACTCTCCAACAAGCTGAGGCAGGATCAAACAGATGGAAAGGGCGAATCCCTGTGTGGGGTAAAGGGCAAAGCCAAGGAGAAGGGCAAGTCATCCTACTCTTCAGGTTTTGACCTCCAGGCCCCTTACCAGGGGATGGCAAGACAGGCAGATACCCAGGCAAACTTTCAGTTGGGGTCTTTGTTTTGTTTTGTTGTTGTTGTTGTTTGTTTCTTTTTTGGAACTGGGGATGAACAGGGCTTTGCACATGCTTTGCCATTTTCTATCTCACTTTAGAAATACATTCCAGCCCAGTCTAGGCAAACTTTCTAGGAGGCAGCAGCAGCCATTCCGGGAAGCAAGCCCCAGGGCCTGCTCTGACACTCATCACTCAACAGAGACCTCCATCTCTGGTCTTCCTGGTAGGGAAAGAACTTTTTGTCCTCAGATGCTGTTGACAGGATCAAATGCAACATGGATAGAAGTCTATGAAAGCCACAAAGAGGGGCTGGGGCCTGGGCTCAGCGGAAGCACACTTGCCCAGCATGTGTGAGGCAATGGGTTCGATTCTCAGCACCACATAAAAATAAATAAAATAAAACTCTGTCAACAACTAAAAAGAAAAAAGAAAAAAAGAAAGCCACCAAGGGCCTGAATAACAGCAGGTGCCTAGTGCACAGGCCTCCCATGTCCCTACTTCTCAGTAACCTGCCACAGCACAGGAACATGAAGAACCTTAAATACCACCCCAGGCAAACTGGGTAGCCTTTACAAAGAGGGCAGGTAAGGCAAAGAACTCTGGTCTGGCCTGGCTGGGGCTCATATACTAATTATTCAAGGACAGCATTTATCTGCCTGGCTTCCTCTTTCACATAGATAGTCCTAACTCAAAAACGATCCCTCCCCAGAGCTAACATATGAAGTGGTGTCTGAACCATGCAAGTTACCTGTGAAAGCAACAATACATGCTAGCACTCTCAAATGGGATTCACTCAGCACAATGCTGAACAGGTAGAGGAAATATTAGACCTAATTTCCACTTATCTCATCCTCATTTTCTTCCCCTTGTATCTCTGTTATGGACAAGTCAGCACACATGCACATCTTAATAAATACCTGTAGGTCAACTAGGGCAAGTGGTAAAAACATCATATATATGTTGGATGCGATGATCTGTCAGGGGCCAAGGGTCACTTGTCCACCAGTCCCATATTAAGCAGTGCCCAAAGATTTGTTACAACAAATGAGCTACTTAATTCTATTTGACCTACCATGGACCCAAGTGTCCAGAATGCACTGAGAATGACAGCACCCACTCCAACTTCCAGCTCATACCTAACACATGCCCTCCCCTGCTCCACAGAGGCCCCTGATACAGGACCAGACTGGTGCTCACTCCTGCCCCCAATGGAGCTCTAGAACCAGCACAGTGCAGCGGGGGAACTGCTTCCTCCTTCCTTCCTTTTCAATCTCAAGGGCCCAGAGCAGAGGCTAATCAGGGCGGACCCTCTCAGATTCCACCTCAACCACCGCCCATCCTCCCACAATTCCTAAGCCATTTCCCAAGAGGGTAGCAATGCTGTTATAAACAGGAAATAAGAGTGCTGCTCAAACAGCAGGGTTGGGGTGGGGGGTGGGGGGACCGAGGCCTCCCTCCTTTTGGTTCACAGAAGCCCTGTAGGGAAAGGAGGAAGCACTTGGGGTGATGACATATGGAGAGTTCTGGGTAACAAGGGCCCAGTAAGAGTCACCAGCATTTTGGGAGAAATTCATACTCAAAAAGCTTCCTTGAGTAGTGTTCCAGGGGCCCTCATGCCTCCACCAACTTAGCCCCATATGGGCTCAGAAGTGCACAGAAGCCTGCTTTCAGCAGGAGGCTGGGAGCATGGAGGGCACGGCACACAGAGAGACAGCGGTTGGGAGAGGAAGTTCCTGTGTCAAGGTCTGAGTCTTCCTGGGGAGGGACCTAGCTCAGTCCACACAGCTAGGTAGAACTTATTTTCACTATTACTCTCTAGGCGGAAACCCTGTTTGGCTCCTACC